AGGACAGGGCATCCTAGAAAATATTCAACTAAAGAGCTCTGCTGACCCCTGCTGGGGAAAAGGTGAAGCTCCATTTAAAATAGCTTCTGCTTTCCTATCGGCCACCCTGATTACATCTCGCTATCTTATTAATAATGTTGACCCAAAACAAAGCCTTAAAAAGCAATAAAACTAGATTGCTTCCTATCAGAGATAGCGAGGGCTGAAGTGCCGTTTTGGAGATGAGGCTACATTTGGATGTGCACTGAGGAACAGAGAGATGATATATAGAAGTGTCACAGTGTCTGCTCTTATGAAGTCACAAGTGCATATTTCCTGGCTGCAACAGCCAGCCCACACTATTGTGCTATTCCTAGAGCCTCTGGAACTCTGGATCTAGAGGGGAACTACAAATCTCAGCATGGACATCCAGAGGCTGACTGGGCATGCTGGCACTTATAGTTCCACAGTCAATGCCATTAGCTTTTCTCAACTTATGGGGGAATTAGAAACCCAGGCATCTCTATAAGCTATATTTTCCCTACATTTTCTTCCTCTGACAGTCAGAGGGTTAAGGATTATGCAAGTGGGGACTTGCACTGTATTTTCACCCCCCACCCTTTCCTAATAACAAGCTTTTTGTTTTACCACTTCAAGCAATCATTCAGTAATTGTCCCTCATACATGCAACTGAGAAATGTCATTGTACTTCTGTAAATATTGGATTAGCTCCTCAATGACCAGCTCTCCAGCAGAAGCCAAGAGCCAGGCTAAGGTTTGCTTCATAAGCCCAATGGTCAATAGGTAGCCAACATCACCATGCTCCTTCCTTTTATCGACCTACCTCTCATCGCAGCAAAGCTTAAAAGGTCCATTCACTTCCCTCTAGAGCTGCCTTTAAATCCCAACACCTGACTACTGCAGATCCAATTTCAAGGCCAATCCCCCAGTATAGCATTAGCTTACTGGCCTTACAAAACCAAGTTCCAATTTCCTTCTGTCGGTGTAAGCTTAAATACCTCCTAATCAAGTTAAGGAAAGCTAGTTACCGATCCACAAAGCCACTAGACCCAGCGGATGTTTAACAGACCTTTTGGAATTATTTACTTAAAAAAAAAAAAAAAAAAAAAAAAACTTAACTTAAATAAAAAAAAAAAAAATTACAGCACAAATGCAAACAAACAAAAAAATGCAAATAAAAAAAGTTCATTTTTTTAAAGTTCTTGACATAATACATCCCAGTTCACATCGATCCCTGTACTTTGAAGGGCAAAAAAAAAAAAAACAATTGCAACATTGAAACAGTTGATTGACAAAAGGCATTATTGTGTCCAGCAGTCAGTGTACATATTCAATTAATTATGACGTCCACAGATTTTGTTTTCTTTTCTTTTTTTTTTCCTCTCTCTCTCTCTAGTCTTATGTGTGTGAAACAAGCAGAATCAGTTCTTTTCTTGTCCATTATTGTGGCATTCTATCGATTTTCCCAGCACTTTGTTAATATGTAACAGACTAAAGCGATTACAGGTGCCAGCAGCTGGGTCTACACAGAGAAATCTTAGGTATAGCTGGTCCAAAATTGTCTTCGACACTTGTGCCCTCACTAAAAAGGAAGACATGGATAGAATGGGTCAGATCTAAATAGAATTTCACCACTGGAATTTTATAATGCACACTATTAAATACTTCTATGAAATCATTTCCTAGGATGGGGCACTTAGGATATTTTTTTTAATCTAGCAGGAAGTGTAATTAGGATGTCTGCTTAAAGTGTCATTTTTTTTATTTTATAGTCCTGAGTCCTAGCTGAGGCTTTTCCCAATTTCCTGTGGAATGACAAGCAATCTTGTCAGAGGGCATGGAAAAAAAAAGGGGGGGGGGGGGCTGTTATGCCTTTCTCCTTCCACACGAATAAATATAGCACGAATTTTTAATTCGTCTTCCTTTCACAGACAACAATGCTGGTTTTGAATGCTGGACACAATTTGGGTTTTGTGAAAGTGTCTTTTTTTTTGTTGCCCTCCCTCATCCCAGCTGTCCATATGGAATACAGCGTGTACAAGTTGGATCACAATGGAAACAACTGACAGGCACAACAAAACCTCTAGGACGGTTCTCCCTGTCTCTGGGATGCACTGCTACTGATAAACCTATTCAATAGCCAGCACAGGAAAGAATAGAAGAGGAAGAAAAAAATCACTATCTTTCTGTGTGTCCCCCATGGGTCTCTTTCATTGAGACTTGTTAATATGCACGCCTCTTACATCCACTACTACCAGCCTTTCTCATTGTGCTGTTTTGTCCTGTCTACTGTATATTGTTCAAAGATAGACTGCACAAACTGCCCCATTAGAGTGTGAAATTTAAGGCCAGAGGGGTTAGGGCCACACAAGGCTTGGAGGCTTTTATTGACTCAGGTACAAGATGCCAGTTACTATGCTCTTTTTGTGGTTTGGAAGTTAAAAATGGCAAGATACCAAATGTGGACAATTGTTCTAGTTTTGTGTATGGGGAAAACTCCTAGACAATTCTTAGCATTCAGAAAATACACATTTATGTACATTAACAAAGCTCACAAAGCCATTTATATGTACATCATTAAGAGTACCTACCCATAGGCAAAGTTACATCAAGAGAACCCTGATACCTCTCTCTCTCTCTCTTTGTGTATATATATATATATATATATATATATATATATATATATATATATATATATATATATATATATATATATATATATATATATATATATATATATACATTTCTATTTCAGCAGATAATGATCTCAAAAACTAAACAAAACTATAATGATAAAATAAAAATGTAAAAAAAAAATAGTTTTGTATATGGGGAAAACTCCTAGACAAATCATAGCATGCAGAAAAGAAACACATTTATGAATATTAATACCAATCTTTGCTCACAAAACCATTTATGTGTATATTAATAAACGTACCAAAGTTACAAAAAGAGAAATGTGATATCTCTCTCTTCATATGTATATATATATATATATATATATATATATATATATATATATATATATATATATATATATATACACACATTTCTCCCCCCCCCCCTCAAATATTGATCTCATTAAAAAACGAAAGCAAATATAATAATGAAATGAAAATGTAAACAAAACAATATATTAAAAATGTAAACACAAAAGAAATCTATGCTGAAAATATTTTTGAAGCTTCATAAAAGCAATAAAGCAATAGATAATTGTGTTCACATTCTGAAATTCGAATTCGAATGAGATGGCCTCTATCATGTAAACAGTAGCTTTCACAGACCTTATATAACTTTAATGGGGGGGGGGGGGGGGGGTTACGATTACCTGCTAAATGCATTTAACACCGACTCATAGTACATCAGTTATGTTTGAGGTCGGGTAATCTTGTCAGAATTGAATTAGAGGACTGTGCACTCTGGTAACAATTCATCTGTACCTGCTAATCAATATTTATTATAAATATAATATGACATAAATACAGTTTGTGGGTTGTAACTCGGAAGGGTAAAGAAATGTCGGTCTAATGCTTGGGGAAAAATAAATGAGATGATAGGAATGAAGGGAAACAATATATATATATACATATTTTAAAATAATATAAATATATTTTAAAAATATATATATATATATATATATATATATATATATATATATATATATAATATAAATAAAGAGATTAATAAAAAAAAGAGAGAGAGAGAGAGAGAGAGAGAGAGAGAGCAAGGGTAGTGAGTAGAGATAAAGATTTTTTTTGTTATACAAACTATAGTTAGGCCATTTTAAAAGTAATGCTAATTATTTTATATTGCAAAATCATTATTTTTTGCCTTACTGAAGCAACAGAAAAGATACAAAATATAATAGGCAAAAATCAGGAGTAAGTAAAAAAAAAATCTACTTTCAAAAGCAACTAACAAAAAATAAGTGCTGTTCAGATTGTGGGACGCAAATGTTTGCCTGTTGAAGGGGCTCTTTACTGTCTAAGTAAGTGGGGTCTTTTCCTTCTTCTATGTCACTTTAGCTTGGCTGCCTCTCCAGAAAGATAAATAGAACTCTCAACCATGATCAAGTAAATAGACACACGTTTTCACCTAGGATTGACTAGATACAACTATTGCATAGTTCCTACAGTAATTCTAATAATAGTTTATGTACATATATATATCTATATAAAAGCGTATCCTAAATATAACGTTTGTAATATATAATATTCAACAAATTATATAATTTAAAATAATTGTTATATACTTTCAATCGGCAGCAAATTCCTTTCATCTACTGCTGTATATTTTTCTGTCCAAAAATTCAAGCACACGTTCTTTCTTTTTTTAACACATCATTTTATTAAAATTCTTATAAAAATTGAAAATCTCCCAAGGATGCGTTTTTTTCATACATAATTGGGTGTATATCTCTATGCAGATGTCTTTGAAATTAATTTTTGTTGCCTTCTGTTTTGTGTTTTGGGGAAATAGTTGCATAAAAAAAACGCCCTGAAGGTTACTGATGACAACAAAAACACAAATATTTACAAAAAAAATGCGAAAAGAGTTGGTGAGATTTTTTTTTTACATGGGCATAAATATTTAAAGTTTCATATAAAAGAAGGAAATAAAATTCTCTCTATTTTTTTAAAGTGATTCCACTGGTTTTATAGACAACTTACAACATCTCTACAGCACACAAACATACTTTACAAAAATAATAATAATAATAATAAAAAAAAAAATTATAGTCACAAAAGCAGAACAAATGATTCCTCTTGGCGTTGTAGGTAGGCAGATTCACTGTCATGGGTCAGTTTTGTAAACATGGTTCACAAGATACCAGAAGGATAGGATTTGGAGAATGGATTGACCTCCATGAGAAAAACAAAAACATCAAAAATAAAAAAACATGATCAATAATAATTATAATTATAATAATAGTTTTTTTTTTACCCAACAGTCTTTTTCAGTGATTTTTTTGGAGCACATCAGTCTGTATATAGAAAAGTTCACCAAGTCCACTGTTGGGCTGGCACCAAATGATGGGCTGTTGGGTATTGGGGATTACTGGCAGAGCTGTACTGGGCGTTATATTGCATATGCTGTAATGACTGGGCGCTATATGCTGAGAAGGGGATGCCAGCGGGGAAAGTGGCTGCTAAGTCCTGAGCTTTGAGCGTGTGGCATGGTTTACCATCTCTTACTAAGACTGGCACTGCCACCCGTCTAGGGGAGGGGAGAGGAGTGACTTCCATACCTTTCTCTGCCCGAGCCCTCTTCATCTTGTACCTGTGGTTCTGGAACCAGATCTTCACCTGGGTGGGGGTGAGTCGGATCAGGCTGGCCAGGTGCTCTCTCTCTGGTGCTGAAAGGTACCTCTGCTGCCTAAACCTCCTCTCCAATTCATAAGTCTGAGCCTTGGAGAACAGCACCCGTCTCTTCCTCTTCTTCCCAGAGTCTGCGCTGCTGGAGGTCTCCTTATCGTTGTCTGGGGATTCATCGGCAGAAGGTTCGGGGGATTTGGGCGAGGAGTCCTGCTGGGAGTTGCTGGATGCAAACCCGTGTACTGCAAGGAGAATGGATGGAGGGAGCTTGTCATTAACCAGGCACTAAGAACACTAGAAGAAACTACACAGCAACCTGTTCCTCTATCCATAGAGGTGAAGATATAGACAGAAATATATAGACAGATAAATAGATACATAAACAAGAGAGAAAAGAAAAGATAGCTAACCAGTTAGAGAAATAGGACAGACAGACAAATAGATGATAGATAGATAGATAGATAGATAGATAGATAGATAGATAGATAGATAGAGTGAGAGATAGAAAAATAAGAAATATAGATAGCTTATAGATGAGAAAAATAAAGCTGGACAGATAAAATATATATAGATAGATAGAAAGAAAGAAAGAAAGAAAGAAAGAAAGAAAAAAGAAAGAAAGAAAGAAAGAAAGAAAGAAAGAAAGAAAGAAAGAAAGAAAGAAAGAAAGAAAGGGAAAGAAAGAAAAGGAAAAAGGGAAAAAAAAGAAAAGAAAGATAACTGATAAATGAAAAATAGAAATGGACAGAAAAAAATAGATGAGAGAGAGATAATAGAAACAGTGATAAAAGATAGACAATTAAAAAGTAGTGTAGGTGTGTATGATTTAAAATTTGTCCATATACACAAACTTCTTTAAAAAATAAGACAGAGAGAGAGAGAGAGAATAGAAATAGAGATAGATAAATAGAAATGTAGTGTTGTGTGTATGATGTAAATGTGTACATATAAACAAACTTCTATTAAAAATAGAAAGAGAGAGAGAGAAAGGAGAAAGAGATAATAAAAATAGTTTGAGATAAAGAACAATGTTGTGTTTGTTGTGTGTATGATGTATATTTGTACATATACACAGACTTCTATCTATAACACACACAAATAATAACAATAATAAATATATATATATATATATATATACATCTTCTATCTATAGCACATATATGTGCTATAAATAGAAGATGTGTGTGTGTAAATATATATATATATATATATATATATATATATATATATATATATATGTACACACACCGCACACATCTTCTGTCTATAGCACAAATATATATACACACCACACACACATAAATAATATAAATACACACATATATACATATATGTACATATATGCACACACAAACAGACAATATATATATATATATATATATATATATATATATATACATATATACATAAACCACAAAGCAATATAAATGCACACACACACACACAGACATATATATCTTTCTACATGCTATCCTTTATTTCCCAGCAATGACCTTGCCCATAAACTTAGCAGCCCCAGCCTTCTGGACGTTGAGTACATGAGAAGAAGCTGCTTAATGATGTGAAGTTTGGAAGTTGCTCTCCCAGCCTTCAGCCTTTATTTTTTGTCCAAGAGACGTGGATGGCTTTTTAAAGAATAATCAACAATTCGTTCATTGATGAGCCCAGCTCCAGCCTCGTGCAGACATTTTTACTACTGCCAATAGCTTACTCTTCCCAGTGGACACAAAGCCGCCTCTGTCTGGGGAATGGAAAGTGGAACTAGCCCCTTCTTCTACTTCCAGTTGGGAATGTGCAGAGATAACCCTGTGCCATGCCTTGTACAGAAGAGCTGACAATTACCTGCCAGCCACCCAGCCCCCTCCCCAGAGACCTACCCCACACAGGACAGCCAGGAAAGTCCTCTACTTACAGGAATACTGTATACTCTCGGTAGTAGCCAGCCACCGTGTGTAAGGATTATCGCTATTGTCATAGAAGGGTTTTTCAAAGGCAGTCCTTGCACAGCGTCTATGGTGCTCTGTCCTAACCCCCCAGATTTCTTGGGGGGCTCCGTCCCCTCTGCGTCTTCATCCGCCCCTTCAGCAATGGATCCTTCTTCATCATTGGTATCAGGCAAGTCTAAAATGTCTTTTACTGAAAAGCCCGTCTTTGTGTTGGTTAAAGAAGACATAATGGTGCTCAGTGGCTTGCAGGTATCACCAGTGATGCCAATCCTCTAGGCGAGCAAAGGACAGTCAGGGGGGAAAACAGTAGCAAAAAAAAAAGTGATGATAGCAAAAAAAAAAAAAAAAAAGAGAGAGAGAAGAGCAGCAGCAATGGTGTTAGCAGAGGATCTGAGGAGGGGAACCTCAGGCTGCTCGGATGGGAGGAAGGTTGTGTGGATCTACTGCAGATGAGGGATCTCACAGAGAGCCTCCTCTCAAATAGTTTGTAAGTCCAGGAAAGATGCCAAAGTGCGCTCCTTACTTCAGGCTCTGGCTTAAGCACACTGAGCTGATGCCTGCTGCCTGGGAAAAAGAATAAGCCATTGCTGGAGCAGATCAGTCCATATAAGGTTGGTGTTCACACATGAACCTGCGGAGAGCAGAAAAAAGTACATTAAAATAGCGAAAGCTTGGCCACGTGTGGGCGGGTCTTAGGAGTCAAGTGGATGAAGACAGTGTTTGCAGATGTGAAATTGTGGGTTTTGGGGACATCGGCGCCTTTACCATTGGTGCTTCACTACATGATGAGTGGTATAACGTGTCAATTAATTACAAAGACGGGGGAGGGCCTTTTTACATAGTATTTACATACAAAGGGGCCTCCAAGTAGATGATATTCTCCACACTTGAGACCACGTTTAAACAAATTGTCTTTTTTTTTCCACCCCCCACCCTTGCACTCATCCTCATTCTCTTGCTGCTCCAACAAGACAGAATATTCAGTATTTACAGAAACAGCTAAACTAGATTAGACCCATTCAAGATATTGCTGGTTACCTAAACAGGATGCTTATTCAAATGGCAAAGGACCAACTTATGTAAACCTCTTAGGTCAATATTGTGGTTGGGGCTTAAGGATGAGGAGTAGAAATTAAACAGCAAGTAATTGATTCTACTTTACTCCAAAATAAACCAAAGTGGGCAGAAATGGAAGGAGACCTTTTTTTTGCCCCCCCCCCCCCCCCCTCTCTGGCTGGAGAAGAGATTTTTGCTGTTTGTTGAAGGTAACACTACTTCCATTGTATTGACCGCAGACACATTACTGATACAATGTTAACATCTAAAACAAACTGAGGCATTAAGATTAGAGCCTTTCTGGTTGGAAAAGACATCACCTACTGCAATTTGTACCCTTGATGGTCTGGAAAGGCTCTCCAGAAAGAATAGGTGTAATTCAATCGTTATACATAATAAAGTGATAAGACTACTGATTTGCTCTAACAATAAAAAAAGACACAAGTACATCTAGTTTAAGCAATAGAAAAAAATATGAATGCATAAAAATAGAAAAATCCTTCAAATACAATGAAACTACGCATTTATTTGGTTGAAAACGAAAAAAAAAATGTTAACGCAATACCTTTTGTTATGACAACCAAGGTGCATGTTTCTTTATTATGAGGTTTTGATTGTATAGTGTGCTTCTGCCTTATTACAATATTTTAGCAATATAATAAATAAAGCTTTTTTTTTTTTAACCTCCTAGCTATTATGTTATTATGTATTCATCGTTCAATGTCAGTGATAGATATATTATTATTGTATCCTGTTGCAATTTAGGTTTCATGTTGCATTATTGGTGACCGTTTTATACTATGTACTTTTTTTTATAGTTCATTAGGCATAATTGCTATTGTAACAATATTAGAATTTATGTGACAATATATTTGATAAATGTTACAAAGCCATATACAGAGGGAGAGTTTTAATAAAAGTCAGAGTGAAAAGGAGAAGGGTTTAAAAAGGGGGTTCTTAGGAGGCTGGGAGAGGTGGTCTTTGTGGGGGTCTGGGGAAATTGCCTGGTTTTCTCCCACAACTGTACTGCACATGAAAAAAAAAAGAAGCCAATGGATTATTGTTGATCAGTTGATTCCAAGATCTGTGTGCCTCCCATTTAGTATGTGATGTGTGTGACAATGCACTGGGTTGTAGCGAGCCCCCAGCGCATCCTGGGTGGTCGGACCCGGGCAAACACAAATACAAACCGATTGCTAAGCTGCGGACAATGGACGAAATGTAGACAAATGTCCGGGTCCCTTTGGATGCCTTTGTCAGGGCTCAGTTTTTGCATTTATTTCAGTGGGGAAATAATACATGATTGACGCCCTCTTACAATGTGCTCTAACTGTTTGGGATAAATCTGAGGTTGTTGCTAGTTGTCATGGCATTCAACCTCTTTCAATGGGGCTATCTCTTCATTCATTTCTCAGTCCCTTGCTCTCGCCTTAACCCCTTGGGCGCCGGCTCGGTGGCCAACAAACGGTTAAATAAATCAGTGCTTCCACTCACCACTTGCCTAATCTCATGGAGAAACTTCAGAAAGTCAGATTATAATCAAGGCAAATACAATTTCCATGTATCCTCAGCAATTTTATATTTTTTGTTAAGTCAAAGGTTTAAAATAATAATACTATTAATAAAAAAAATCTGTAAATGAATACACTAATTCAATCAGTGTTCATTTGCATTTATACATACAAGTCGTTTTAAATAATAATTGCAAAAACAAAGAACAAGCAGAGGGTTCAAAAAGAAACATATAACACATGTGAGAAGTTAAAACCTCAATGTTCATTATTTTCCTTGGTGGAATGAAAATCGAATTAAAATTAATAAAGTCGATAGCTATTTTGCTTCAGTTTATAGCATTAATAAATGCTTATTGTGGTAACTGCGGCAATAATCTTGGGGGGAAAAAAGGTGCTTAATTTGCCAGTTTAGAGTGGCACTTGCAGTAAGTGAGGTTATGCTATGGAAATCCTTGTTTGTTCCTAGGAGATGTGCTTCACTGCTGATATTAGAGGAAGAAGAGCCAGTGCCACTTAGCAATGATGCCTTATAACGTCTCCTTATGAGGCTGCTGCCTGTCCTGCAACCTGCTCTCTCTGCTGCCTGCTATGCAGCCTGCTGTCTCTGCTGCCTGTCTATAACCTGCTGTCTCTGCTGCCTGTCTATAACCTGCACTCTTTTGCCTGCTATGCAACTTACTCTCTCTACTGACTGTCTATAACCTGCACTCTCCTGCCTGCCCTATAACCTGCACTCTCCTGCCTGCCCTGCAACATGCTATCTCTGCTGCTTGCTATGCATCCTGCTGTTTTTCCTGCTTGTCTATAACCTACACTCTTCTGCCTGCCCTGCAGCCTGCTGTCTCTGCTGCCTGCTATGCAACCTGCTGTCTCTGCTGCCTGTCTATGTCTTGCACTTTCCTGCCTGCCCTATAATCTGCTGTCTATCCTGCTTGTTTATAACCTGGACTCTCCTGCCTTCCCTATAACCTGTTGTCTATCTTGTCTGTCTATAACCTGCTATCTCTGCTACCTGCCCTACAATTTTCAGTCTGCAGTGCCTGCCCTACAATTTGATGCCTCTGGTGTCTTCCCTACAACCTGCTGCCTCCTCTGCCTGCCCTACAACCTGCTGTTTCTGCTGCTGCCCTACAACCTGCTGCCTGTCTTACAATCTGCTGTCTCCTCTGCCTGCCCTACATCCTGCTGTCTCCACTGCTTTGGGGTCACCTGATAGGTAAATATTTTGCTTATACAAGGACTTGTGGCCTATTAGTCCCACCAGGCTCCATACAAAGTGAACAAGGGCCCCATTCATTGACACTTCTTCCTTTGTAACACCAGTAGGTAAAACATTCGCCCTTTTTGTTTGAAAACATACAAAGACCTTTAGTGGATGATTGGGAATTATACACTCACGAGCAATGGTGATTATTACATTTAAAATAATAAATCCATTTACAGCAATCGCAATTACCATAACAAAACCCTCTACGTCACAGTTTAAAAAAAAAGGATTTGATTGGTCTTGTATTTCCTCACCTAGCAGGAGAATATGCACAATATTCCTAGACATTTTTTTTGTATTCATAATTATACACTAATGGAGATCCACCTCCCCCGCCAATTTGCTCTCCAATTTGATGCAGAGCGATCCCAGCATTATGTAACGATAAACGATTATCCATGGTAGTTTTTCAGGCTCTTATGGTATTTTTCTTAATGTATGTTTATTAATTATTACGGGTACTAATTCGCAGTTTTAATCAGCTGTAGAGGTATATGCAAAACGTCGTGGCTGTCAATGCAACATTTCATGCATAGTTAGCATCTCATTACAAATAAAGCAATGTCTGCAGCAGAAGCACGACGTATAACATGCATAGAGTGTGGATAGGAATTATTCTCGTACATTTATAAATATATATATTATAAATAAGTATAAATATAATAATACATATATGTATAATTAACAAAATAATCTTAATTAATAGCTATAATTAACTATTTTTGCTGTGATGAACATATATATATAATATATATAATACATTTTGTTCATATAGGATAACTGTAATTTTATCTTGAACGCCACACCGACAGGAGGTGTTTTTGTGTAGTGCTACTATGTTTAATAGCACACTTCATTGTATTCCACTCCACTCACTAAATTAAATTCCTAATTTTTTGTTATTTCCATCTATACATACCACATAATGTGCATATACATTACAGAAGATACATTTATTTTTTAAATCTATTTATACTGTATACGTCTCTCTGTGAGATATATATATATATATATATATATATATATATATATATATATATATAACACACACATTGTGTAAAGTATTTTTTATACTTTACACTAAAAGAGCAGAAACTGTTTCTCCCCCATATTTACATTGATGAATGATTGCCCAATAGGTCATCCGCATTACTGAGCAGTCAGATGTATGCGATCTCCTGGAGCTGATCTACCTAATATGTCACCCATGTTAGCCGCTCTCCTCCATGGTGCTGCCATCCTCTGAGGCTCCTCACCTTCCCAGTTGATGACATTGGCACAGCTTTATCTTCTGGTCTGGCAGCGCCTGTGGTGGCTGGTCTCGGGAGTGGAGCAGCAGAGTCATGGAGCACTGGGTTTGTGTTTGGGGATTGGAAGACTTGTGGGATTA